GCCTGTGGGGCTGCTGCAAAGGGGACCCCATGGGGGAGACTGCTTGGCTAAGTCCACAATATAACTCAAACTTCAGAAAAGCTAAAGCAGAGTGTGCTCCCGTGTCTCTTCTACCTGCAGTCTGGAGAGAAGAGGCTGATGGCCTGGGTGGGGTTGGCGACCAGAGCCTGCTGCTGCTGGAGGAAGAGGGCAGCAGGGAAGGGACAGGTCAGTGACCCAGTGGCGGCCACCATCGGCCCTGTTTTACAGGAGCCGTGCAGTGGGGGGAAGGAGACCTTAGAAAATTGTGGATAAAGATGAAAATGGATTGCTTGGTACTGATGGATGCATGGGCCTTGTGAGTGGGGAACAGAGGTTTCTTTTCAGAGTTGTAGGAATCAGAGGAAAAGGGCTCTGCAGGTTATCTACACACACACACACACACACTCACATGCACACACACACACACACACGTGCACACATATGCTTGAGACCTCAAGAGCTCTTAGAGGATCAATTGCCTGAGAGTAGATGGGCAATTCTTGGGCCTGCTGGGATTTTTCATCCAGTGCCAGGGGACCATTATGCTCGTTCAATAAATTTAAGTGTCAGTGCAGCAGAAATAAAGCTGCATTCTGACAACACTGTAAGCCATGTGTGTCCAACACATTAGATAGACTACTGTTTCCCCAAGAAAGAAAATACATTGGGTGCATTACTCTTTCTGCACTGGCAGATGGGAGGAAAGATGGTTTCCCAGAGGAAACCCATCACCTTCCATTTCAGCTGGCCCCATGAGCTCGCCTCTGTGCCAATTCATGCGTGCTGCTTCCTGCTGCAAAGTTTGAAGGCCATAGCGCTCCTGGCCTCGGGCACCCTGCCAAGTGCTCCTCAGAACATCGTGGGGAAGACTTGAGATTCCTCTACCTTCCACAGCCTGGGCTGACTGCTGGCTCCTTCTAACTGGTGAAAGGTGGCAAGTGAGCAGTGACCTCTAGGTAGACAGACAGGAGTTTGCAGTGATTCAACAGGGAAGCAAGAACATGAATGGAGGAGCCAAGAACTCCTTAGAAAAGGGAAGGTTTCAGGTCTTCCTGTGAAGATGCAGAGTGGCTGGGGGAGGGCAGTAAAAGTCTCTTTCTCTACTGTGTTTTTCTAGCTCTTTTCTGGTGTCTCCACACACACAGGGCTGCGTGTTTAGCTGTGTTTCCCCTTGTTCCTAAGAAACTTCTCCCTGTGGAAGCAGACAGAAGTTGCATACAGCCAAGGTTGGGGACTCAGGAGGCAAAGTGCACTGCAGCATGATCAGGCCTGTGGATAAAGACTGTGGCAGAGGGGTGGCAGTTGGGCATCCAGACCCCTTGCACAAAGGTGGAAGAGAAAGACTGATCCTGGCTGCCACATGAGATCCCAAGAAATGCAATGTCAGAAACACTAAAAATGTCTTTCTTCCCACGTCAGACTTGCATCAAAGCTTCCCTTTCCTTGGCCACGTAAATGCGTTCCCTTGCTCCCCTTTCTGGAATTTGAAGGTGATGCTTTAACGCCACATTTCCCCCCACCCCACCCTGTTCTACACCTTCCCCTCCACCGGAAGAGTGCTGACATGACTGACATGCGTTTGACTTACTATATCCTACCGTTTTTTGCCAGCAAAGCAAGAACACAGGTGGGAAGAGAGTGCAAGTCGGGGCGTAACTAAGCACATTTTGGATCTTTTAAGAGAATCTGCAGGAGCACTGAATGAGTAGTGAGAAGTGAGGGAGTAAGCGTGCTGGCCTATCTTTTGCTCCTTCTCTGAGCATTTCTAACTCTGAAGCCAGCAGCCCAGTTTGAATTCCATCTCCACCTGTCACCAGCTTACAACCTAGGGTCAGCTTCTTTAATCTCTCTGTGCCTTCATTTCTGTATCAGTAAAGTGAGGATAAAAATAGCATTTGCCTCATAGAGTTATGAGCTAAAAGCCAAAACAGGCTTAAAGGGTGTCTGGTGCCTGGCTGGTCTATGTATCTGTTAGCTGTCATTGTTTCTTCTTTTTCTGTCATTTTCGGATCTGTAGAGATGTGCGGAGGAAAGGATAATTTGGAGAAAAGTCAGGTCCAATCTCCACTGGGCTGTTTATTTGTAATTTATAGCAGTAGTGTAGCTTCAATTTCACTTACATCTCCACCATATTATTTTTAGGTAGCACTAGAGTTGATTATAATGACACTGATGAAAACCTAAACCTGAATATTTTTACTCATTTAGCAATACATTTGTGTGTTCATTTACTGATTAATTACTGCTTTAAGGAAGATCCTGAGCAGTTTAAAAACCTGCATGAGAATTTTTCCCTTAAGAAATCTACAACCATTTTATTACTGGTTATGTTTACAAAACTCTGTGAGATCACAGTAAGTAAAAACTAACCAGAAATACATGGTCTAGGAAAGTGAGAATTCATTTTCTGATCTAAGAAACTGTATCTCCAGCCATTTGTGTTAACGTTCTGACTGCAGTTGAGGTCTGATTGCTCCTGCACCCTCTTCTCATCTTTTGTTAATATGATTCCCTTGCTGGTATTGTTTAGACAACAGAACGCAGGTATCTTGTGCTTTGGGTGACTGATTTGGGGAAGACAATGCACAACGTATGTACCATTGTTACCCTGATTGATGTGTTTTGAAATTTAGTATTTTCTTTTTATTTTTCTCCTTGAAATAAAATAGATTTGAAAAAAAAAACATTACCTGCCATTTCTTATTCCATTGTGAGCAGAAAGTCCATGCTTCAAGAGTGACCATTTTTGCCTCAATGCAATCGATAAACATCTATTTAATATATATTTAATATGATTTGAACACTGATTTCATTTCACACAAAAATAGTGTAGAGATTATAAATTACATGGCTATAGACCATAATTTTCTGTTTCATTTTTGGATGTACTTTAATCCATAGTATATTTACATCAATTTTATTTTAGATGCCACTTAACTCACATTAAATTAAAATACTCTTTCGTCTTCTGGGCATTACTGAGAAATATAGAGTACATTCATGTATAGGTTCATAGCCATTTTTCAACATAAGGCATCTGACACATAATCCATTAAAAATCAAATAATCATTGTACTGAAAGAAGAGCAATCCAATTTTTGTTATTCTTACAGGATTCAAAAATGTTTCTGCCTTAAATTATTTTGAACTGCTAACAAAATCCTATCAGGTATTCTGCTGTACTTTACTAAGACTACTTCAGCAGTCATGGGCTGTATAGATGGTGGATGCCTGGAAGTGGAGAAATTATGAGACCATCTTGTACACCGAAAAGAAAATTTATGGTTTGAGAAGGGTCATCCCTTTACTCCTCAATTTTCCCTTGATTAAAAATTACACATTTAACCTGGTTAAAAAAATCAAATAATTTTTAAGATTTGCCTAATGAAATTACTGAAATTCTAGGACTTAGTCCACCAGTATGGTAGACATTTGCCATATGGGATTGTTGAGCAGTTTAAATTAGAATGTTCCAGATTTAAAAGACCAAGTTAAAAAAAGGTAAAATATTTTGGATATACTGAGTTGAAATAAGATAAATTCTTAAAACACGCTTCATGCTTTTCTTTGTAGTATGGCTATAGATAATTTAAAATCACATGTCACGTGCATTATACTAACATCAGATGGTACCTTCAAAGCAAAGGGATAAAAATCTGTTTTTAAGCTTTTAGATGCCTAATGGTCAATGTCAAGAATAAGCTACTGATACCCTGAAAAGTGAAGTTATGGAAGTTAAAATTCTTTATACAAAAACCCAGTAAACCTCACTAGACAGATATTTGTCACCAAGTCCTCCAAATTACTTTCTTTCAAAGTTCTGTGAAAATGTTAAGGTTATAAAACTCGGTATCATCCCCACTACATCATAAAAGATCCAGAAATAGGCACGATGCTAAAAGTGACTATTCTAAATAGCAGTGCCCTGACTCTGTCATTCTTTTCTCTTTATCCTTCCATCCTTACATAAGATTATTGTTTCTTCATAGAAAATGCATACCCTTACATTTAAGCATAATTTTATGAATTCTATTAAAATCACAAATATGCAAAAAAAAAAAAAAAAAGAGCCAGACTTAAAAGGAAATATCCCAAGGTACTTCAGTCTGATTTTTTGTGTTTCTAAATTTTCTAATAGTGAAGAGCTTACTTCTATCAAAAGAAATATGCCTTATTTAAAATTGCAATATCTACTCATTCTTTTAACTTTAAATCTCATGCTTATTTTCTTAAAATTCCTGAAGCTTTGATCTCTACTAGATTAGATTTAATAATAGGTACTTTAGATTTCTAAGTCAATCTTGATAGTCATAGAGATACCTAATATTTTTATAGCTACCATCAAACAGAGGAGAGGGTTCAGTGACTATCTGCAGCAGATGAGCCAAAGAATAGCCAGGAGCTGGTTACATGTGATATTCACTGTCTGTGGGTTCAGGTTATGCTAAAAAGTGTCCATCTGAAAGGGTGCCAGGGGGCATAGCTCAGTGCGCGTATGTGAGGGCCTACTCAATTGTAAGAAAAAAATAACAATAAAGTGATGTCATTTAGTGCAGGGATGATGGCTACTCAGGAAACTGAGGCAGGAGGATGAGGTGGGCCCTGGCACCTGCCAGCCTGGGTGGCACAGTGAGGCTGTCCTGTCTCTTGCAGGTGCTCTGTCTCCTTCCCTTACCCTCAGAGGCCAGGCCCACCAGCAGCAGGTACCGCGCAGTAGGGGACACCAAGAAAGCGTAGTACTGTGACGTGTGCACCAGGCAGCAGGTGTGGGCAGCAGGAGTGCGGACATGCATGGCCAGGTCTGCTGCCTTCCCTGCTGCCTCGGGAAAGATCTGAGCTTGTAAGTGCCAGGCAGCTATGACTGTCCAGCTCTGCAATGTAACACTTAGTATTTTCCTCCTTGAGCAAAAGTATCTTTTTATCCAATCCACATGGTACAACAGCCCTTTAGGCTTCAAGTCTTAAGCACAATAACTTACTGTTAGTAGTGAAGATGACTTCTCCCTCCTGGGGCATGGGATCTGTGTCCTGGACCACCTGCAAGGCTCCCACAGTCCGGACAGCAGGGTCCAATGTGACTGAGCTCTCGTTTACTGTTGTGTCACTGGCGCCTGTGATCTGGTTGGTGGGGGGACCTCCCAGGGAGCCCTCGAAGTCGGTGGGGAGGTCGTCCATGCAGTCAGCATTGGGCTGTGGGAGACAGAAAGAGATCTATCCTTAGAGAGTGCTGTCCATTTATAGATGAAATGTCTACAGTCTAGATACTTGTCTCATTGGCAAATTAAGTATTGTTTTTCCTTGAGCTACTTAAAAACAGTCTGTGCGTGCTTTTATTAACATGCAAAAAAATCTTTAACATAAAAAGTTCTTCCAAAGTCTCCTTTCCACAGATTCCTTTCACACATAGGTATGATGTCTTAACTCCAGGAATGGCAAGGTCTCTGCATTTAAACAATTTGAAGGAAAACAGGCCATTTATTTGTAATGATAGAACTTCTTTATGAAGTGTTTACTTCCCACGTAGGAAGGAGCTGGCAGTCTGATAATTACTCCAAAGACTCATGCATCGTTTACAAATATACTATGATATCAAAGTGGGAGGGAACAGAATCTGACTCACTGTGAAGTGCTCATTAAAGATGCACATATACATAGAACAACAGGGCAAGGCTACTTTTCAAAATGTAAGCTGGAATGCAACTATAGAAAAAATATTTTTTGGTATCAGTAATCAAACTCAAGACCTCGCGCTTGCAGGCAGGCACTTGTGCCTCTGAGTGATATCCCCAGCCCTAGAAAATATTTCTAGGTACTTAGCATGGGATAGATCATATTTGAAAGTGAAGAACTTTAAAATCTTAGCATCTAAAATAAAGAGCATTTATTCAATCACTCCATCATTACAGGGCCCTATTCCTCACAATACCATTGACTGCTCCTATTGATAGCATTGCAGTGAAGCTTTCTGCCCAGAGAGGCAGCTGGTGTTTGCTGTGGTGTTGGACTCCTTCCTATATTATATTATAGAGCAAATCTTACTCTCTAAAGTTTGGCTCTTTGGTTTTGAAGTACCATGAATATATTTCTGTCTTCCACAATAAACTTAAAATTACTTCCAGTTGTGTTTTTCCTGAAGTCATGAAAATTATTTTTTAGAGGTGGTGGTGGAAGGACATGATCTTAAGGCAGATTAAAAATAACTTCAACTTTGACTTGAAGGAGGACTATTACATGATTTCCCACCCTCATTGTATGTGGAGCATGATAGCTAGGGGCACGTGAAAGTACTGGGTTAACACTGAATTAGCGCTGCAATGCAAGTGTTGTATTTAGAGTTTATTAAAAGAGAAACGTGCATCTCGTAGACCCCCGAGGAACACAACAAGGATTTCTAAACTGCTAGACTCATGTTCCAATTTCTGCCCTTAGTGGGTAAGGCCTTCTAAGGGATGCTTCCAACGTCCCCCAGACTTCTCAGTGCAGCTCTTTCCTTCTTCCCTCCTTTCTTTGCTCCTCTGTCTCTATTGAAAATGAGCCAATTCAGTAAAACTCCAATTTCCAAAAGTCAGTTTACAGAATGAGCAATTTACCACATGTGCTATTGGACACAGGCAGGTAGAGTTATGAGTATTTTCTTCCCTTACTGTCGCTCTTGCTCTTTCCAGCTCTTCTCCATCTGATTTCCATCTCTACTCCCTTACAAGAGCATTTTTTTTTTTTTTAAAGAAAACACAGGTGTGAGTTTTCTCCTTAGGAGTGAATCACAATCCCTTTAGCATAAAACAGATACTCCACAGCCTGTTACAGCCCGTTTTTCGGCTGTCACCTTCATTCTCCTGTTTCACTGTGTTAGCCTGTCCCCTCCCCCTACTCAGTATGACTTCTGCCTCGGTCACCCTCCTTTTCCCATTCTAAGACCTCAAACTGACCCCTGCTGAACTCCTAAGCACTAATTCCCAGGCCACTGCCACTTTGTCTGAAGCCTGTCCTCTCCCACGTACTCGTCTTTGACTCCCACCCCCAGAACTTTCTATGGCACTGTTCCCACTCCGCGGCCACTGTCTGTCTCTTCGCCCTGGTCCACATGCAGTGCAGAGAGACGTGAACACACCGCGCTGCTCTTGGATTCCAAGCCTCCATGAACTACCACTGCCAATGATTCTGTGCTTAGTAAATGTGGAACAGAATTCTACTCTGAAAACTCAGGCATATCAATATTTTCCAAGATCAAGTAGGGGAGGATTCAAAAAAGCATTTTAAGGACTGTAAAGCTCTATGCAAAGGTAAGATATGGAAAGTAAATTTTTTTTTTTTTAGCAAAAGCAGTGACGTGTCAGGTACGGGGGAATAAAACACTTTTACCAAGAAGGCAAAGACTTGGTGGGGTCTCTCCACCACCCCCACACAGAATGCAATCATATGCAAACGACAACTGATATTTTTAAAAATATTGATTCTTATTGTTCATTTTATGTATTTAATTGCAAGGCACTGTGTTTCTTTGCTGTTAGTTCGTGGGCCAGCAAGAACTGTGCTATATTCTTAACAGGAGAGGAAGGGGGAGAGAAAAGAGCTAATTAGCTCAGTCGGACTAGCAGGTCTAAATTTGGCCTCAATGTAACATTTAATAGACCATTCTTCTACAGGCTCCTGGTTTATATCCTCTCTATGAGATTCATCAGACAGACTAATATTTTGAAAAAAAACCAAACTTACAGACCTCTAAGAAAAACCACAATCATAATGCTTAAAGAAGATGTCAAATAAACACTGTACAGGTATTTAAATTTAGGGAAATTCGGATTAGAATAGGGAAATTCCTCAAGTACATTACGTGCTCCTAGTTAAGAACCTGTGAATGCACCAGCTACACTATGGGAACTATCATTCTTTTTATATCAGGAAAATATTCATCACAGTGGGAGGAGACCCAGTCCTATGGAGCCTTAGGGGAAGAGTCCAACAGTCCCACAAAGACAGGGCTGGTCTGACCTGACCAGACAGGAGGATGAAGCACTGAACAGGAGACAAAAGGAGGAAACAAAAAAAAAAAAAAAAAACAAAAAAAAAAAAAAAAAAAGAAAAAAGCACTTCTGAAGTAAATAATTTTCTCTCCCTTTCAGGTCAGTATTATATTTCCCTTGGTAAAATCTAATGGAAAAGGTACCCATTGTTAAAGGAATTTTATGATCTGTGAGATGTGCTCTTATTCTTTAACTCATTGTACAGAAATTACTTGCAAAATGAAAATGTTCCTAAATCTTGGCTTTCAACAAATAGCTCTATCTATATCTATACAGCTGTATAAATAGATCTAGACCTAGATCTAGATCTAGATCTAGATATATATTTGCTTAGAGCCCAAGGCACGTAGGCACTCTTTTAAAAACAATAAAAATAAACATCAGTTGTCAAAGTGATAGGGTTTCTTTCAATTTCCTTGAAAATAGAATAATACAGAAAAATCACAAGACAACTGCTTTGAACAGCATAAAGAAGAGTTTCAGTGAGGACACAGGATGTGCTTTCTAAGAAGGCTGTGAGCTTGCCTAGTGGTACGGGAAGTGTGAAGAATTGCATTGAAATCCTCTCACAGGTGTGTTATAGGCATAGCTTCCCCCAGTGGCCGAAGGATGGGACAGAACACTGCCCACAATTCTTCCCAGACTCTGACTCTGTCTTTCTCTAGGACAAAAACTGAGGAACCCCAGGGTGCAGTGAGGGTGGTTGCATGCCCTGAGCGAGGGAGAAGCAGCCCGCTACCACCTTATTCTTAACAGGGGACATTCTGTGCTGTGGGGTGAGCGAGGGTGTGTGCCCTGCTCTTGTTGGGCAGGCCTTTAAAAATCCTTGGCAAAATCCACTCGATGCCACCAATGTTCATTTTTCTGGAGGAAAGCATGCTAAATAAAACCCTGTCCAGACTTGATAGGCTTCAAACTATAGCCAGAATGCCTGATTGCCAAAAATTCAATATTCCTAAATTTGGAAATAAGCCAAGAGACCATTCAATTAATTCTATTTTGGCAACAATTAGCAATATTTAAAACTCATTTGTAAGCAGCTTCTGGAGAAATTATATCTTCATGGGAAAATCTGGAGTCAAACACTCTTTAGTATAAAATTTAACTACAGCGGTTGTTTGGTTTCTTGGTCCTGATGAAAGAATTGTGAGACTGTTAGGACCTTTGACAACATCTTGAGCAACAGGAACTAGGTCAAGTAATACAGTTGTTTCCCTTTAATCATGAAGACCAAACACACACACACACACACACACACACACACACACACACACACACACATATACTTGCAAGCATCATATACACCTTTCTCCTTCCCTTTAGAAGAACTAGTTACAGGCAGACATGTGAAAAGTACAAGAACTGAGTTGGAATTTTGAAGTCACCAGTATCTGGCTCAAGATGCTTGGTTTTTATTAATGTTTCATGTTCACTGCAATTGACTTTCACCTTGAATACACTATGCATTTACAACTGTGATCTGAAAATTTAATGCACTGTCTTTAAAATCTAGCTGAGAGCTATATGCATCAGACAAGTTCATCTGTGTTTGCTCCATCAACCATGAAAATCAGCCCGCAGTTGGCATGGTGGTAGCTGTCACAGGGTGACATTTAGTGAATGAATGCTCAGTGAATGAATGTCCTCCTATGTATGTCCTCTCTGACACGTCTCCTTGATATTCCTAATTAGCTCTTTGGCACTGAAGCAACTCTGACACATGATCTGGTTCTTCCCTCTTCAGTGACATCTTGGGACTATCAACATTCTCTTTGCCACTGGCAGAGTGACAATAGGCAGGTGGCAGCAGAGTGGAGCTGGGAAGTGGGAGGAAGGCTAGTTTTTCTGCATTCTGCTTTGTGGCTTAAGACAGTGCCTCATGTCTTTGTCACTTCTTGCTGTGTAGTCCGTGACTTTGGCAGCCTGGATTGTTTCCTGCCCTCATCTGTCACAGGGAATAGCACACGGCAGCTGGTGTTTCACCAGGCGCCCTTTGTGAGGTTCATTTGATAGGGTGCTGGGAAAGCCTTTCCTGCAGCACCCAGCCAGCTGGCAGGAGTGGGTGCACTGGGGGAGGGGCTGAACTTCAGGAGACACGTGACCCAGGGAAGCAGCTCGATGGCGGTGCCAGAATGAGCAGTTCCGGCTCTGCATGCCTATTCACTGGGGTCTCTGCAGAGGTCTGAGCAAGGCAGAAACCTTTGGCCCGATTCTCAGCCACTGTTCCTCCTCCCCCTGCCGGCCATCTCCTCTCTGAGACATTGGTGACGGTGACAACACCAGGAAGTGTGGCATGCAGATTTCCTTGAGGACTGAGCAGGGGTGCCCACTATAGAAGTGGCCAATGTACAACAGGCTGGTACACTGCCTGCACCTCACAAGAGCTGCCTAGGACCTGCACAAGAGGCATCTTGGCTCACAGCCAAACACAGTGGGTAAGGGGGGAGGGCCATGATGTCCTCAGGGTGAGCAAAAGGGAGAGGAGAAATATTTCCAAACATGGGATGCTCTTGTGGGCTCTGTTAGATGATGCCACCATTATGTGATTGAGGGAGACACGGAAAACCCAGGTAAGATATTTTCTCCCTGCTTTGGGGGAAATTCAGAAAGACAGACATTATGATGCTGTGCTGTGCTTACCGGGATCCCTAGGGCTTTAAGAATGTTCATCTTGCACATGGGACAGGTACGATGGTCTAGAAGCCAGGGGTCAACACAGGACTTGTGGAAAAGATGCCTGCAATGAGAACCATACATCTTAGAGCAGTGAAAACTCAGAGACCACCCAGCCCAGTGGCCTGTCCAGTGTCACTCAACTGCTCACTGTGGGGCCAAGACTCAAACCACCTAAGTCCTGGGCCAAAGAGCTTCCCGCAGCACCCTGTGGTGACCTCAAGACTGTCTGGATCCCAGAATTGCCCTGTGTGACTTACAAACAACTCTTCCAACTTTAGAAAATGTCCAGAATATTTAATGGCAAGAATGCAAATGAGGAAACTTGCGCAGACCTTGTAGAATGACTTGATAGAGGCTACTCTTAAAAAATATCCAAAAATTCTTTATTCATAATCAGAAGACTATTGCACAGCAAAAGATTTCCATCAATGTTTGGGCTCATACAAAAGGGGTGAAGAGCTCCTCGGAGCATTTAATAACACAAGTGGACTTTTTAAATTGCTCTGGTTGCTGGCTGTCAAATCAGAAGCCAGGGTGGGTGGTTTGATGCTGGGTAACTATTACTACCTGTGCTCAAGTGTAAGGCCAGCCTCACACGCTAGCTGTCATCAGCCTGTGTCTGTCTGGCAGGCGAAGCCGGAATGAAGAGGGCTTCGTAGCTGCTCTCTCTCTCAGCTTGGCTCACAAAACCCCACCCAGAGACCCTAGGAACCACGGGAGTCAGAAGCGTAACTTCATACTCACAAGACTCCAGATTGTGGGCAGAATCTGCACTCATGAGAGAGAGTAAGCTGTCCCGAGTTCTAAGAGGACTTTCTTACAACATTTCACACAGCCCTGGTTCTCCTCAATAGGACACTATTGGTAAATGCCTCCACCCCATTCTCTTTCACTTTCACCTTTTTTTGTTCTAACATTTTGCAAAACTTCATTTGTTTTGTGTTAGAAGACTTTGAGTGCAACTGCTCCCAAATGGGTGAAGAGTTCAGAAAGCACCACCTTTTATACTGAAATCCGGAAGAACTCAAGCACTAAGGATGGGATTAGAAAGAGGAGAGCAGCAACTGGGACTTGGTATTGTGTTTCCAGATTGTTGCTGAGGATGCCCAGATTTCCTGCTTGGAAGGTATTCATTCACTCACTCATTCATTCAACAAGTGGTAGATGCCAAAGGAGCAGCATTATAGTGACTGGTTTCCTTCCCTTAGAGGTCATGGCAGGGTAAGTAGGTGTTAGCAAAGTAATATGCAAATTAGTGACAATGAAAACAGTGCAAAATACCACAGGAGACGAACAGGGAGTTTGGGAGATTATCCAAGTTCAGGTGCTCAGAGACAGTGTCTCTGAGGAGTGACGAAGTTGAGACTTAAGGGCTGTTTGGACGTAAGGGCTAAGAATGGAAGGGAGAGAACATGAAGAATGTTCTAGGCAGAATGAATGGGGACAGTGGGAGGTGGCCATTCCCATGGCAGCAGGGAAGGGCAAACATAGGGAGCATAGCGCCTGAGTCATGCTCCTTGTCCTCCAGAAAGCAATACTGATCTAAATCTGCTCTGACCTGGTGCTGCTCTTGGGAAGAAGTCAAACATTCTGCTCCCTGTGATGATTCCCAAGAGGCAGGTGACTCATGTGCTTTCTGCAAATGCATGGGACTTGGTGTGGTGGCGGGACCGATCCTTTGCTGTTTGAACATGTAGATAAGCCACCAGATGCCCTCAGCTCTGAGTCACCTCTGTAAAATGGAGCTCTATCTGCTCCATCAGGGAAGTGAGGTGAGCCAAGTAACTACGGTTCTTCCCTAACACCCCGTGTTTCTCTTGTGCTGTCATTCTTGCCTCCTCTCTCTGATGGTCAGTTTTCATGTACCATCTTGGCGAGGGTATCATACTAACCTACACGCTGCCAAGAAGGTGCCCTGGTCATGTGGAGCATACCCACAGTGTGGACTTCAATTAGATTATCCTTTCTAATCTGGGTGGGACTTACTTCATCATTTCAAAGGCCCTGGGACAAAACTGAGGCTTCCCTGAGAAGACATCGTGCCCTAGGTTGTGGTATCGGCTCCTGCACAAGGATCTCCAGCTTCTTGGACTGTCCTGGAGACTTCAGGCCTGCCCTATCGGCATCCCTGGGACCAATTCCTTGAAACTTCTCTCTGTACACCTCTACCTCCATCTCCCACTGGTTCTGTTGCTTTAGGGACCCATGACTGATACACTCTCCAACCAACATATAGCTCAGTTATAGCAAAATCTTCATCTCTGTGATTCTCAGTCACATCCTGTCATCTACAATGGTTCCTGGCACACAGCTGAAGTGCAATTGTGCCTGCTGCATAAGTATCTGCTGAACTGAGGACCTCCCCCACCTCCCATCCTTCCCACGGTCAGCACCTCACTCCCTCGCCCTTCCTAAACCTCTGTCCACATCACCACTTCTCTCCACACAGCACCCTTGTTCATTGTCTTGTCATCATCTTCTCAGTGTTACTGCGTCTAAAGTGCTCTCCAAGCTGCCAGGCCTTTCCTGTTCTTTTCATCCCACTCGCTGTTGGCAGATTTATCTTCCAAAAATAAAGCACTAGTTACATCACTCTCTTGTTCTATTCTGTTCTGTGCTAGGAGCCGGGTATAGTGAGGGATAAGACAATGTCCCTTCACAGGCAGTACCTCAAGAAAGTGCCACAGTCTGCCAGTGATTCTTTAACTAAATAGGGAAAGATCTCTGAAAACCCACACTCCTGGATCCACGGTGTTCAGGCTTTTCAACCTTAGGCAAGTTACCCTAGCTCTCAATTCCACATTTTATCCTATAGATATGGGGTTTGCAAGTGAATGAGTGCGGGGTGCTTGTGTATGTGAGAGAGGAGAGAGGAAGAGGGAGAAGGGAGGACGGTGGGAGAGGGGAAGGGAGTTAGGGATGGAGAGAAAGTGAGAGCCCACAAAGTTTAAAATACAAGTTCTGGCATTCCTTAGGTGTGAGCTACCATTAATCTTTTTAACACCTTTATCTTTTTACATCTTTATTTTAGATATTATATAATTACTTCCATTTCTGCTCTTTTTTTTTAATTTAAGGAGAAAAAGAAAAAAAAAACAGAAAAAGGGTACAAGTTATACAGAATTTCAGAAAAAATAAACAGTAGGAAATCACTAGTTAATAGATTACATATTGTTGTCTTAGAAATAGTTGTTCAAGTTACAAAATTAAAGCATATAAAGTGGACTTTCAAACAGTGAGACTGGAAACAGTTTTGTTCAATGATCCAACAAAACTCAGTAATATGGTTATCTATCTTATACACTTAAATATATATGTAGTTATATTCTTTAGAGCACTTCTTTTCCTTTTTTTTTTTTTGTACAAGACAATTACACATTTTGGGTTTTATTACTCTCATAGTTCTTCTTATTTTTTTTTTTTTTGAAGAGAGTAAAACCCAATGTGACATAACAGAACAGAGTCAGTCAAATCAAAAGGATGGACATAATAGATAATGTAAAAACAAAATACTAGGTGGTCAACAATGGTTGCCATACTGCCTCTTGCTATCTTAAAAAGAATTGCCTATATCATCAGCTATGGTAAAATTGAACAGAACAATAAAGAATAAAACCAAAATACTGGAGACATTACAGGACTTTAAAAGAAGATAATAGTCAACCAGAATGGGCGTCATAATGAATCTTATTGTCTTCACAGTTTTGCCTATACTTTCGAACTTGGTACTATCAAGCAAAGCAGAATAGAGGAAAATAAGTCAAAGCAAGATGGTGAGGGCAATACAAGGTTTCAAATCAAGTTAATAGGAAATCAAAGTGGGTTACTATAATGTATCCTGCTATTTTTTAATTTTTCCCTTAATTAAAAAGATAATGATAAAAAAGTAAATAATTAAAAAAAAAGGAGACTGAGATAAAAGAGGGCATAACAACAAAACAGCGCAGGTCAAAGCATAACCATTTAAGCAAAATAGTGTTTCACCACAAGATATCCTGACATAAAAGTAGTTACCATAGTGTCTCTTTCCTTGAAATCTTTGAGTATAACTTCGTATACTGTAGCACCAAACACATCAAGACAATGTAAAACCATTCAAGAGAATGACATTATTATAGGGTATTTAGAACTGTGTATCAGAAAATGAACAATGGTTTCTGTATAATCTCCTTGTCTATAAAAGTTTTTGCTTATATTATCACATATAATAAAATCCAGTAAGATACAACCTGTTAAGACCAATGGAGACAGAAGAATAAAAGCTTGATGGGACTTCAAAGCAAGATGATACTAAATAAGCACTAGCTATTATGATGTCTTGTTTTCTCCAAAATAGCTGTTCCTACCATCCAATCTTCTCTGACTCATTTTTGTTGAGATCTTTTTCTGTCGTTTGTTATCAGTTTGTCTTCTTCATTTCACTTTCTGCTCCATTCATTGTGGCTCTCTGCCATTGTTTCTGAAGTCTTGGTATTTTCTTTTTAGAATATCCTGCAGTATTCTCTGTAGAGTTGAATTGGTGGTTGCAAATTGCCCTAGTTCCTCTTTATCCTGGAAGCACCTTGTTTTGCCATCAATTTCTAGGGACAATTGTGCAGGATATATCAATCTTGGCTGGAGGTTGTTATCTTTCAAACTTCAATTATTTCCCCCCACGCTCTTCATGATTTGATGGTTTGTGCCGAGAAGTCTGCTGTAATTCTGATGGGTGTTCCCTTGTAAGTGATCTGTTTCTTGTCTCTGATGGCTTTTAGTATTGTGTTCTTATATTAGATTTCTGAAATTTTGATTATTATATGTCTGGGTGTAGCTCTGTTTGGGTTGTAGGTGGCTGGGGTCCTGTATTCCTCATTCATCTGAGTATCTTTACCTTTTGCTAAATTAGGGAAATTCTCCTGGATTATTTCTGTGAGTAGCTTTTGTAGTTCATTTGTTTGAGTCCCTACTTCTTCTTTTATGTTCTTAATTCTTAAGTTATAGATCCTCTTATCATCTTCTAGCCTTTGTATTATTGCTGTTTGTTATTTTTAAGAAGTTTTTCATTTCATGCTCCCATATTAC